TAAAGTTTATGCAAAGCAAGGCATATATGTACATTTCTATCCCGTCCAGTTAGACAAGAAACTGGACTCCCGCTAGAACAAACAAAAATAACAAATTTACTAACTAATGAAATTAGGAAAGGCAAGCTTCCCCTCTAACTTAAGCAAAAATCTACATCTTAATATTGTAAATCCCATTGTTCATAGTTCAATCAAAGACATACCAATCTTCTGGAAAATCCAAGATCCATCAGTCCATTAGGTAAAGTCCTGTTTTAAAATCCATTAAAAAGGAAAAAGTCCCTTCCATCTTAACTCTCTTAATCCTTCTTGCTGGAATTTACTCCCGCCTTCTTCTTCACAGTTAACAACCAATCAGGGGTAAGGAAAAAAGTAACTTTTCCCGCCCCATCTTCTCATGAGACTCCAGATGTTATTATTACAAGCTCCTGAAATGTTATGTCTTTCTCTACCTGACCAGGCCTCGGTTACTAAGGCGACCAGATAATGGGTCAGCCTGACCAGTTTCTGTGAAGCAAAACTGCCTTTTGGAATTTTCCACTTTCAAGCACACAGAGACCAAAATGGATTCTTCATAACTACATATCCCATCAGTAAATCACTTTCTAGCTTTCATAACCAAATTCATCACAGTAGCCATGCCTCCTCTCAGAAGCAGCTGTGACATCACCCAGGAGAGTGTTCTTTGCACTCAAAAATCAGCGAATAACTTAGCAACTTTGGGGAGAAGCGTTCCCCCACTACTGCAGTGCTCTCTACGTGGGGCTACTGTTTAGGCTGATGTAGAGACTTCAAATGGTCCAAAATTTGGTGGCTACTGGTTCGCTTCTGCATCAACTTCAAGGTTATGATAAGATTCAAGCCTGTCAATGGTTTAGGACCTTGGTATCTAAGAGAAAGCCTGCTCTCACCCAGATCTGTCCGTAACGCCTGCTTATTTATTTTATTTATTAGATTTTTTATCCCGCTGGTCTAGATAGTCTGCTCTCAGCCAGATCTGTCGGCTTCCTTTTTGCCATTCTTTTCATCATCCTTTTACCATCTTCACTGCTAGATGGTGCAGGGTATAAATCCAATCAATGAACCAAGCAATAAATTGAACAGGCATAAACAATGAATATCAGAAAGAGAAAAAAGAAATTAAGGTGACTCTGGGGACCTCAAAAGTAGTCCAGTTTATTGGCAGAGGCAGGGCTGTGGGCAAGGAAGAGACCCCGCCCCTCCTCTGTAGGAGAGCCCATCGAGTGTTGGAAAAGGATCACTCCTCTTGTCTTCTTGGCTCAAGGCTGAATGTGCCCAATTCTTTTCAAGTGAAGTCAACTGAATACCAAGAATCGTAATGATAGGATATGCTTTTGGGGCAGGAAGGAGAGAGGTCCAGGTGTGGGACCTTTTGCCATTCCACCCTTCCTCACCACTCCTTCAAGGTGCAGGAGACCTGTGCCCCCTTTTCTCCAGGACCACTTCAGGGTATTTGTTGACCTCAGGAACTCCCCACCACTTGACATTCCTACTGAAGACACTGGTAGCCCCTGGCCCAGACCAGCCCCCTCCTCTTCCTTCCCTTCTACCAAGGTGGGGGTGGGGCCAGCGCCTCGGGGATCGAATATTCCCACAATGGCATCTCGATCCCTTCCTTTTGTAGAGGGCTCTGCTGTGGCACAAGTCAAGTCTGGATGCTCTTTAGAACCCCAGGCACCAAAAACTCCTCTGGGGCTCCTCGTGAGAAGGCAGGGAAAGACCCTCAGGCTGGGAAAGGAGGAAAGGCAGCAGGAGAAGAGGAGGACCCAATAGAGGAGGGCCTGGAGCCAGTGACCTGCATGTCCAGAGTTTCTCCCCCCCCCTCCTGGGACTGAACGGGGGGGTTGTGGATGTGCCAGTTGTGGGGCGGGTGTGAAGATGGAGAAGAAGGTGGGGGGGGTCCCGGGAGAGGAGGAGGAGGAGGGCCTTCCTTCGGGGAAAGGGGCTGAAAGGCTGCGGGGAAGGGAAGAGACCCCCCCCCCCAGGCTGCCCTTTTCTCCCCCCCCAAGAAGACCAAGGGTGGGGGGGCGGCTCTTAATTATTTTCATTAATTATTACTCCTCCCCTTCCCTTCCCCCCAACGCCTCCCTTCAGGGCGGGGGGGAAAGGGAGAGAACCATAGAGCTAGGAAGGGCGTAGAGGGGGCCCTCCCTATCTCTCCTTGACCGGAAGCGGAAGCTGGGCGCCTGCCAGCCTCTCTTCCTCCCACCTCTATGGTTTTCCTCCCACCTTCTCCCGCCGGAGGACCCGGAAGGACTTGCGCCGAGGTTGGTCAGGGGGTGTGTGTTTGTGGGTCGGTGGGGGCGATTTTCAAAGAAACGAACATTAGGGGGAAAAAGGCAAACCAAACGGCCCCCCCCCCGGTGGTTGCTCCGCCTGGAAGGGAAGCAGGAAAGAAGGACCCCCGTTCCAACC